ATAACAGAGAATATGGTCTGAGCACTCATATGTCTGAAATCACTAGCACTACCATGTCTTGTATCAGGTTTCTTAACTTGTGTTAAAACCTCCATTATCTCACTAAATACCTGTAATATCAAAATGTTTCAAGTTTTTATCCATAAAAATTATTGTTCTTTAGTGTTTAAAAGTCAATGAATCTAATGTTTTAATTCCAAGATCTCATCAATATATATGATCACATTTGCTTTCATTTAAATAGTTTTTATCGAGCCTGCGAACAATTTTTGATGAGCAATAGCTCAAAAACCATTCATCAAAAATTGTCAAATTCAAACTTGTCCAAATGTCATCAATACAAACAATCACACAAAGTTTCATTAAAATCAGATAAAATCTGTAGTCTAAACTATTCATCAAAAATTGTCAAATTCGAGCTTTTCTCATTAAAGGGACAGGTAGGCTATTTTTTTTACCAATCATACTTTAGCCTCAGAAACTGGAATTTTTTTAGCTGAGCTAGTCAGTAATACTGTTCACAGCTCCCTTTGAAATTTGATATGTGTGTCCAGAATTATCTGCATTTGAACTTGTCAATTTAAGATACTCTGTGATATAAAGAAAAGACATATATGGAAATAGCGATTAAAATTCCTAGTTTGAAGTATTTTAAATGAATTATGTGATTTGCATACATTCCTAGTACTTCTGAAGACTATTTACATATTTTCAAGACTAAAATCAACCCCCCAAAATGGCACATCTGTAATCTGTATAAATGATCATAAAATGTTTCATTAAAAATAGATGAAATCTGTAGGCTATATTGTGCTCAGATGAAGTGTGAGACAGACCAAAATGGACGTCCACACCTCCATATGTTCAATAAAATAGAAGACACACAAACGATTTCACAAAGATTTTTACTGGTCCATTTTTAGTTGATCCGAAAAATGTGGATACTCTATAGCACAACAAAAGGGTTAACATTCAAAAAAATAATCTGCTATAGAAAAAACTAGGTAGTCCTAAAGTTAGCAACTACTAAGGAAAGTCACGTCTCCATGTGGGCGCATAAAAAATATCACTGATTAGTTTAGCTAAACAATTCGCACTTCTGAGATTAGAGTTTGATATAGCGAACAGACTAAACTAGTAAAACATTAAATTGTTTACCTCATTGATATCTTTCTCTACACCATCTTGTAAAACTTGTATAGTAACATGAGGTAATATATATAATGCTACATGTATATGATATTTAATTGTAGCACTACAGGTTTGAAATACACGCTGTGCTTTAGGATGTTTCACCTAGAAATAGAATTAGTTAATGATTATGAAATGTTCTTTTATTTTGTTCATTGGTCTTTAAAAACAAATACTATATTGGAACTTCCAAACAACAAATGCTGTACAAGATCTCACTGAGGTTCTATAGCACAGTCAGTTAGAGTGTTGGTTCTTAACATGACGTCATTTGCTTGGTTACTTCGAGCAAATGGTGGCTGTGGGTTCAATTCTCGATCGGCGATGGAAAGTCCGATGATCTTGAATAAGTCATCTTCACTCATAACTACAGTCGACCCAGCTGTAAATGGGTACGGATAATCAGGGAAAGATCAATGCTAAGAGGTTTTTCCAAGGACCAGCTGGTAGAAAGGATGCTTAAATGTGAACCTAAGTTCTTATCCTAGTAAAATATAGTTCATTTCTTTCTTTCTAGCAAAACAGAGCACAATTAGCAATACAGATAAACATATTTCTGAAAATTCTATATTTACCTTAGAAATGAGAAATCCTGTCCAATTACTGACCCAATCTTTAAAATTACTGCCTTTACAACTTCTATAAATAGGTTTAGGTAGGTCTGACCAATTAGCTGCAGTATTTAATCTATATCTATAATACATCAATTACAATATGTCTACATGTTTCTTTGCAGCAGTATTAGAACAAACCTTATAACATATTTCTACTGCATGTAAACCTCATACTAGCTACTTTCAGATTAGTATGTATAATGGAGACACAATACACATAAGTATGTACCTTGAAGTCAGTAGAGGATTGAGTATCTCATGGACATGCTCTGGTAAACGCTGCCATAATTTACCAGTAATAACACCAGTCACTTTTTGTACAGCTATTTCATATTCTTGAATCAATTCTTGTAGAGCAAACGCTGAACAATCTTGTATCCTAGGTTCAGTTGCTTCTAGAAAGGATTTGACTAGTTCATTAATCAAATCAATGGCAAAGTTGTCGTCTTCTATAGATGCTTGGAATTTAGCCATATCTTCTTTAGGATTGTTTGACAACAGTTCCAGTCTGAAATTTAAATAGATTAATATGACAATGGTTTAGTTTTTGCAGATTTGTCTGTGTTTCAGTTTGACAGAATGTAACATATTTACCACATTAATTCTATATTCAAATTTCTAGACAATTGGGATTGTAAAGAGGATTTCTAACTTGTGTGTACTGAGGCCACTTATGGCTTCTATTTGCATCATTCTAATTCTCTGTCAGATATGTGTAATTATAGAAATGCTTAACAGTATATTAAAAGCTCCTTATAATAACTAAAAGCCTTAGGTGAAAGCTACTTCATAAACTACTCTTGTAGTGGAAGTGAAAGACCTACAGATCTTAGATTAAAAATTTGAATGATGCATCTGATGCTATAAGTTTCCGTGATACACATAAAAAGTTTAGAAAAACACTTTACAATCTCTTTAAGAACAAGCCTTGTTTCACTTAAAGGGACAGATACGCCATATTTTTGACCAATTGTACCTTAGTATCAAAGGGAA